CGGCACCATGTTCTATAACCAGGAATGGTTTCTCCCTGCAGGTTAAATACCCTGAAGGGTGGCATCCATTGAACGACCCTCTGCTCAGCTGGCTTCCGTACAGGGGCCCGCTGGGAACTTTCCCGGTCAGTTAGAAAGGTTCAATCCGCCCCTGTGAAGAAGAGCGAGTTCTGGTGCCACGGCAGCAGCTGTGCAGAGCCCATTGTGACTATTGCATAGAAAGGCTATGGCAGGCAGGGCCGGCCCCAGCTTATTTTGTACCCTAGGCGAGGATCCCTTCTGCCCCCCCGTGCACCCACCAATTTTCAAAAATACATGCATTTTAGGAAGAATGAAAAACATAATCAAGAGACTCTCAGAGTACGGGGCCGGGTGCAGTTTGGCGCCCCTAAGGGCCAGCCCGCTCTAGGCAATCGCCTAGTGAGTGAGCCGGCCCTGATGGCAGGCGGAAGGCCCCCGGTTTGGGCCCTGGCATCTCCAGTGAAAGGGAACAGGCCGTCTGTGATGGGAAAGACTTCTGCCTGAGACACCCTGGAGAGCCGCTGACAGTTTGACCTGAATTGACCAAAATGTCTGATTCGGTACAAGGCAGCGTCACATACTTTTGGAGGAGTTGTGGCTCAGGGGCAGAGCCTCTCCTTGGCACACAGGAAGTCCCAGGTTGAATCCCAGTCATCTCATTTTAAAAAGGACCAGGCAGCAGGTGGTGTGAAAGACCCCTCTGCCTGAGACCCTGGAGAGCTTCTGCCAGTCTGAGTAGGCAAGAGATACCTGGATGGCCCAGAAGGCTTGATAAGGCAGCTCCATTTGTTCATGTCAGGGCCCTTTGGCACTACTCTTTATATCACTGTGTCTGTCTCTTTGTACATGGAGAAAGCTCCTGCCCTGCCACATATTTTGTTAGTCTTTTAAGGTGCTCCTGGACTCTGGCTCTTTTCCATTGTTCCCACTGGACTGTCGCTATAGTTTGGAGCTGTTTGCTTCCTCCCTCAAGTAAGAGGTGCAGGGGCTCAGGGCTCTCTGGGCCTCCTCCTCCGTGACCTCAGCACCCTTGTTAGGGAAAG